AAACAGAGTTCCTGGATAAAAACCACTACAAAGACAATACTTAATTGTCAAGATAAGAGCCAACAGTCTTTAGAGCCTTCTTAAAATTTGAGTATTCTCGTCTGATAAGGTGATAAGATATTTATTGAAAGCTTAAAAGGGGAAGATTTTAAAGAAAATATTGGTAGGAACTAAAGTGCAATTCATCGAGATTAACAAGAGGTTAAAACAAAGTAGAATGTCTTAACTCATATTTATTGCTTCGGATAACTCGATGTAATACGGTGATCCTGATGAAACAATCTCTTTACAGCTGTATTCTGGTTGCCATTTGCCAAGTCAGACAGTAAAGTCAGCTCATTAAATTGTTTTCAAAATCAAGACAAGAATTTACTTGAAATGAAAATTTTTTTCAATTGTTTCTGTTTACGTCACAATTTTACTCAATTGCTTTTTTTCTGCTCTCCCTATACTGTTAAGGTTGTAACGTGATTTGTAAAGCAACTGCATGTGATATGCTCATAAGTAAAAAGTTGTTAACTATGATACACGCCAAAGTCATCTTGATAGCTTTTAATAGTATCATATTCAGTCAGTAAAGGATAATATATAATTGAATTTATTTTAGCATAGAAATGTCGGCAGGACGTTTCGAAATCCCCAATTTCTTTCTTTCAAACAAATTATACCGCCAAATCGTTACCCAGAAACAAATTAGTCTCGCTTGTGCTTATGAAATTATTAGCTCCCTAGCACATTGTTCATTTTCCCTAAGGGCAGTAGCGAAGACTGGGCCAAAGACACTTAGGAGTGGCATTAAAATAGTGTAAGTTTTGGGGTTGGCTTGTACAAAATGTAAAACTTGTAGAAGACTAAAGATCGTATGATTTGACCCTAGACAGATTCACCACATGGATCAATATTTTAGTCTCTTTTTTTAATTTTTCTAGACGATTTTTTACAACCTTTGTGACCCATTTTTATGTAATGGTGCTGACGATAGCATGATGTCTGCACTTGCATCTTGTGCCGATGAACTATTACAACTTAGAAAAATCAAGACAAATAAATGCTTCAATTTGCTCAAGTCATATGAAATTATTCTTACTTGTATAAAGATAAACACATTGGTGAGTTTGAAATTTGCAAAGAATTTGAAAAAAGTTACAATGTGACTCTATTTGATGCTCATATCGATGAAATCAGTAGCATAGCAACCCAACAGTTCAGTTATATCAGAGAATTTGCAGCAAATACTTTGTTGGCGGCCCAACAAATACAATGAGAAAATATGATTGTAATTCTTTTATGCTATAGAATTTCGATTAGATTTATTTCCACTAGTATAGGCATTATGTGGTAAAGGAAGCCAGGATGAGCTAGAGCAAATTAAGGGGTGAACATAAGGAGTGGTCTACACTACTTACACTAACTTTTCGTTGTTGTGGAAACATTCACCTTTCAGCTCAAAATAAAATACTATTATTTTTCGTACTAAACAGTCTAAAATTTGATATAAAAATCTTTTCTTTAGAATAGATATGCATGTAATTTTTGCTGCAAGTGAAAAGCATGCCCCGCAGGTCCAGGAATCTTTTCCAGGTAGCTGATTAGAGAGCGAAGCATTCAGTTTCCATTGACTCTGGTCGCGAGAATTTCATTTACGAAAATTACCGTTATTTTAAAAATTATTTAAAAGGGGTACTGTTTTAATGGTTTTAATTTCGTATTTTAAAATCGCGGTTTCTCTGACAATTGCATCAGACAAGCATTTGATTTATTGTAAGACACGTTTATCTTGACCATCGATCATTTCGTGGTTTATTCGTTTTCTTAGTGGCAAGACACAAGCCATATTCATGCTCCTATTATTTAATAAAGTAAAGTACTTATTCATAGTGGTATTGACCAACCTCCTGGTGGAGAGACTTTTCTAACCCATATCTAAGAATGCTGCAAGGTTGTAGAAGATGAACAACCATTAAATAATGCATGTTGCTTTCTCAGTCTAGGTTTTCATAGCGCCCCATTAATACATGCGTGCAAAAAAGCCTAAGGCCTGAGATTAACGTTAAAATGGAAGAAATCTGGAGAACTTTTTCTGTCAAAAACTCTCAGTGGCGAACTGCCTCTCAAATAAGATCTCACTCAGAAATTTACCTTATATTTTTGCACACAACAATTTTTTTAATAAGAAAGGAAGGTCAGGATTAGCTCTAAGTTTCTCAAATAAATTTTATTCTAGTACTGAAAGTTTTTCATGGTTTCGTAAATACCGATTGCCAAAACCTTATTTCTGGAATCAAAATAGCGTAGCACAAGATATCTTAAAACAGAATACGAAACAGTCGCAAGGAGATCATCTATCAATACTCTTATGTCAAATTAAGTGGCAATAGTTGCCCAATTGTCAAAGAACAATTTCACCCCATCAATTGTAAAAGTACAAGATCGACTTTCGAGCAGTTTGGTCGATGTAGTTTCTTAATAATTAGGTAACCTCGGCGCTCTTTTCATGAAATATTCCTTTTAAATAAAGGCGTCTAGAAAAACTCAAGCTAGAAACTCGAAAAATTTTCTCCGCTTGCCCACCAAACATAAAGCTATAGTGCAATGTAAACTTGCTTTCGTGATCAAAGTAGATCTTTTGATTAAAACAATCCCGCTGAAGGCATTTTAGTTTTCTGCGGGTCTTGAAAGATGAAATGGAATGACAAGACCAAGAGGTCGCATATCCTCAATGTCATCCACCGAACTGACCAAGTGGATTATATTTGAAGTTATATAAATGGCTAAAGATTAGCTCAAAGCCCCATCCATGACTATTTATGGCCAGTCTGATACAGTCATTACTTGATATTTCTTTATTCTTGAGGTCATTATCAATGGAAGTTACACCAAGTGTTAAAGTTTTTTAAATAAATGCATATCTCAAGTATCAGAAGAAGTTTGAATAAAATGTTTAGTGCCAATTTGTACGAGCTCTGGTCCCAACTGCACGTTGTTTCTACTTCAGTTCATGCAGTCCAATTTCACATACACCGAGGGGCAAATCACTCCAAGAAAATCTCGTACACCTTTTGTGAAAATCCTTTTGTTTTAGGGAAAATCTCGTACGCTATTTGCAAGAGTGAATTGCCCCTCGACATACAGGCTCTCTCCCCACTCGGGGTATCAGATCCACTTAGATTTGAACGGGAAAATTAGAAGATGTGAATGGAGAAGATGAGGAGCGTTCGCTTCTCCGTTATTTCATAAATTTTTTCAATATAATTGCAAAGAGAGCAAGATTAACAAATTGAAACATATTAAATTAAAGTCGAGTTAAAGACCAACTGGCTTTTAAATATGTTTCCGGTCACTGGCTTTTTGGGCCAAGGATTTCAAGAGATCCCGTGACAAATTATACTGAGGTAACTCGGTACATTTATAAACCATAATTAAAAATACACACATACACGATCAAAAATTTTTCTTAGAATTTTCGCTGTCATTCGGCAGCCTCCTCAGTAAGAAAAATTTTTTGATCGTGTATGTGTATTTTTTTAATTATGGTGTAAAAATGTACCGAGTTACTTAAGCATAATTTGGCTTTTAAGTACTTTTTGTATTACTGTTCCTTTGTCATAGGAAGTGCAATTTTTGGCCAAAAACGATGGTGAGTTAAAAACATCATAGTAAAAAATTGTTTAATTTGGTCGCTTTCTTATGTTTCCAACATTTAGGATTGTAGTTCTTCCCTGGGTCAGGTACAATGCAAAATGAAAGCTATAATAAAAATATGTTCCGTTTTCTTGAAAGTGATTTCAAATCAAGACATATTATCGAAAAGATAACTTGGAAGGAATAACAAGGCACTTCCAACAGTCAAATTTGATGCAGAAGTGGCAAAAAAATCATAAATTCCAATGCAAGTTTAGAGATTGATAGGGAAGGGGGTATAAAAATGAAAGTTGGTGAACCAAAGATATTCAGGCTTATTTCTTCGTCCTTTTTGCAATCAAGTGGGGCATGGCACCCCAGCCATGGTCTTCTCATCTCACGCTCTTATAATGGATTTTAAAGCACAGAATAGTCCATTCCAAAGGCCGAGTTAGCGGGGGGAGGAGGAATTTTTAAAAATTCACTTATTTTCTAAGGTAATTTTGAGGACCTCCATGTTATAAAAGAGTCTGTTTAGCTTTTCTTAGTTGATTACAAAATAATGCACGTGATAAGTAGAAGTTCCAGTATATTTTGTGCGATTGTTCAAAGAGATTTTTTTCCGTCTGCAAATAGCCAAACTTGTTACCTGATATCTTTTTATATCGCCAGGCAGATTTGGGCTCCTGTTGTGGCATTGGGTCTTTCATCGCTTTCTCTTAATTGCATTTTATAATACTTGTTAATGCCAAGTTACCCAAAACTTGAAACCTAAAGCCATCCCACGAATGTTTTCAAGGCAAATCCGGCATCGCTCTTCCGGACATTGAAGAATTAAACCGTCTAAGGAAATGAGATTTTCATTTAACTATCATTGTTAATGCGCATGGAAACTTATTCAGGTCTAGTTGGGCATAAGCACGCACTACATATCGAAAACTCATAACATTGGATAATTAGTAGAGAAATCTGATAGTTGTAAGGCCGAGGAGAGAAAGCAAGTTGTGAGATCAGTGAAGGATGTCCTTTACAGTCTAGGGGAATCCCCATTATACGATTCTTCTGGGACAACAGTTTAATTCCAGTTCAAGTAGGCCTCAGAGCAAGAGGAAGGTACTTCAAGAAAAAACGATTTAGATCCAAGTTGGGTTAATTAATATTCAAATATGTAAATTCATTGCTCATCAGAACGGATCAGTGGACGTATTTGTCAAATATCAATGGATATATTACGTGGATATCTATGTTCAACGAGGATAGAAAATTCGATTTTAGTGAAGTTGTTGTTGGTAAGGTGCATGGGTAAATACTAGCGAAAAGCTGCAATATGCTTATAGAAGTCATATTTTTATTGGTGTTCAATTTTGTTTCTGCCGTAGAAAAGGAAACTGATGTTAACTTGTTGCTTGCCGTTGGATCGCCGGTTCCACGAGATGTCGCGCCGATGGTCGGGCCGTTCGGTATTCGTGGCCGACCGGCATTTCAATTTACACCGAACAGCTACATCGGACGGTATGCCAGAGATATCTTGCATTTGCCTTTTCAAACAGAATTTGGTATCAAGGTGACGACTCTTGTTTATAGAGCGAACGGTGGTGTTCTGTTCAGCATCGTCTCAAAAGATCAACATAAAGATTTTCTAACATTGGAGGTTCGAAAGAAAAACTCAAAAAATCAAACTATCGAGATAAATTATAGAAATTCAAATCCATTAGAAATTTACAGTGTGAAATTTGACGTACCCAATTTTTATGGAAAATGGACAATATTTTCGATCGCAGTTCGGGATCAGAATGCGTGGTTGTTTATGAATGGGTGCCAGATTGTCCGGGGTTTTGCCTTCAGGAGAAGATTGAATCCTCTGGATATCAAGGAGGATTCAGTGGTTTATGTAGGACGAGCAGGATGGTATTCGGACAAAAGGCCTTTCTTTGTAAGTACATTCACACTTTATTGAGATTTTATTAATGATTTAGAAGAGAGATAACAGGTGCAGAGATTTCGGAAGGGGCGTTGTACTCCCTGCCAGAAAATAAATATTTGGATGGGAAACAGATTAAGAATGAAGGAAAGGCAATTTAAAACGCCACAAAAACTCGGTTATAATCGTGGTCCTGCTTTTTTAAAGACCACGTGAAAACAAAACTTTGTAGATGATTCCGTGCCTAATGCCTACTGTGATAGTTTCTTTAAGTTTTTTTGGGTCAGTTTTTAAAATTGGAAATCTGTCAAATCAACTTTCTGCAATTTTTGTAATGAGATTTCACAGATTTTCCAAGCAGAGCTTTTTTCCAGTAAATCGATATTTTGGCTGACTTCTCGCACTTGCCTGGCTCATCCTTGCGGCTTTCTGGTTTGCGAATTAATTCTGTGTCAAGAGATAAGCAGTTAATTAACAGTGGGTTTAGAAATTTATTTGCTGAGGATGTTCCCTAGTCAAGTCTCCGAGTTCGAATATAGGATCGTGGAGAATATTGTTAATTACAGTCAATGCCACTAAAAGCTTTCCAAATTGCTATGGTAAACAATCACTGAGCAGCGTAAATCAAATTTCTATGACCATCCTTTGAGAGGAGGTTTATTAGAGACATGAGTCACACAGCAACCATACGTACTTATACAATTAATGCTTTGTATGCATGTTCTATTGCGTCGACTGGCGGTATGTGCTGGACAAGCCCAACCTAAACTAAATTTTAAACAATAATGGGGAACGGCTGAAAATTTTAATCCTGTCGATGAACAGGACTAAAAACAAAATGTGATAACTTCCCTTAAACTGGAAAGACCGCCCACACATTAACTTGGAGTTTCTAAATTATTTTCTTAAGGTTGGTAAAAATAGGAACAAAAACTCTTAAAGACTGCTGTATTATGACAGAAAATTTTGCAGGCCCCAGGTGGAAATTTGTCACTTTCTGGTACCCCAAAGGATGGGCTGGTACTCTAAAGGATTACCCCATACCCCGAGAGCCTCTCTAGCATCATTGCGCCTTGCTCACCCCTGCTTTGCCCTTTCTGTCATAGGTTTGATAAGGTACGCATCTCGGATTCTCGGAGTACCTTATGTTCTTGCCTAGATTGATGCGGTTTCTTGAAGAGCTTGCGACGACAATGCACTAACATACCTCTTAGCACAAAGGCATTCAAACGAAACCCTTCAAAAACATAGGGAAAGGATTACATTAGTGCACCGACCCTACTGCAAACGCAAATACAGGATATTGCCCCGTTTGTTCTTTGGATTTTTGCACATTGATACGTAGTAAATTAGTTATAGGCTATGCTTAATTGGGACATGAGAATGGTATCTATTCATATTGGCAAGTCCTTCGCCAGCCAACACAGCTCGAGGTAGCAGATGTATCCATAGACTGCATTCCTTGTGGTCATGCAGCATACAAGACAGCCTTCTATTCATTAAATCGCCTTTTTACTATTGATCATCACATTCCCTAGAAACTGAGATTTGCCATTGCTGTGTCTGAGGAAAAATTATAATCTGTTATTTGGATGATCGCATCCTCAATCATTCTTCAAGGAAACTCGCAGCTTTTTTGTCATGAAACAACTCAAACTGTACCGTTATTCACTGTCACACCCATTCGAACTCTCTTTTCTACAAACTTTTCTTTCTGTCGGTAAGGAGTGTCCTGCCTCACCATTAGTCAGTTTACCCAATAAAAAAGTACATTAACGCTGCAAAAGAATCAAAGAAATAAATTGCATTATTAAGAAAAAGCAAACATATTATGCAAGCTTTAACAAAGCTCTTATTCAAATAATCGTTATTTTTCAGTAAGATGTTACTACCTCTCTTTAAAAGGAATACACACTCCTTGAAGCGATTAAGTGGGAAGTTAATTTTATCTTGATGTTTATTCGCCTATGGTTCGATCGATTCGTACATTAAACACGATTGCAACCACAAGGGCAGCTGGCAGTCTGCTGGGTGTGATGTGATTTTTGTACGTGTGAGACATTGATGACTCAATGTTTATTTTATACCATTAACGTGGACTCATTAATATATTGACTTCAAACAGATATCCTTGGTCTTCAGAAATCAGACATTTTACAACGATAAATAGCTGAGAATACTATTTTTAGCCTGCCGCTGTCTTTTTGTGCCTGTTTTCTTTAATAGTCGAGGGTAAATCGGCAGTATGTTGGCAGCCATTATCAGGAATGTATGCTACACAGAGTTAAGGGTTTGCAATAAGGGATTGGTCCCCATAAGTGCTTTACATATAGGAAAATTGTTTTTGTGAATATATATATTTTTGTATGAATTTTTCAAAGCAAAATGGTTTTGACCAGAGGTGTATTCAGATCTGGAGATGTATAAAAACTTTGGCATTTAGCTTACAAATGCGTACGTTCTGAAACACATATCTGCATGGTCTTCTGCTTTCCACCTCGAGCCCTCAGGCTTGCCCGTCTTTATGTTTTCTAGAACATTGGCCTCGAGGTAAATTCTAGATAGCATTTTATCTGAAGTCATTCGAGCTTAAAAAGACCTCTGGGGCTCTTTCGGAGTACCCTGAATTCTTCATGTATCAGCCCATATCATCCCCCTAAGCACAAAAGGTTCTGCGCCCTAAGATTGTTTCAAGAAGCTAGCTGCATCCCTTTTCTCTACCATGTCGTCTAGAGGTTGCCCCCATAGAACTTGTTCCTATTCGAAAATGTTTGAATCAAGAGAATATTCGAAGGATGCTATAGAACAGAAAATTTTTAACCTAAACTAGTCTCTTGTACGTGAAAACGAGCATGAAATAAGTCCTCATAAAAGTCAGCATTTGGTTTCCAATTTCGGGACAAGCACCTGCTCACCCTGCCTGACGCCAACTGCATTGGAGCCTTGACCCTATAGGCTTCGTGCCGCCTGTCCTTCATCATGATCAGTCAGGACAAACCCGAATCCAGATGATTAACCGTAGCCCAGTATTTTGACATGATGGGTCGGCTAATCAGAGAATCTGCCACGGTGATATTGCGGTGAGCAAATGAAGATAAAACTGTTTACTTCTATTTCCAGAAAAAAAAGAGTCTTATTGAATTCAACTATTTGCTCGTTCTTGTTGGATTTTTCTACTAGCTCTGTAGGTCATGATTTTGTTTGCAAAAGTTGTAGCAAATAGGGAATTAATGGCTTAAACATGTTGTTGTCTGTCGATTCAGCAACATTCCCCCAGATTTGGGATTAAAGAAGCTGGATTTTGATCAATTACGTAAAAATCTTTGTCGCTATCATTGCCAGTGGACTTTGTTTTCTAATTCTCCAATCGATGCTGAAAGTGTTTGGATACTGTTAAATCTTGTTTTCAATCTATTTTCGCAAATTTTAATTCAGTAAACTAATATCGTTTTCGATGGCTAGTGCCCGTCTTTTTGCTTAAAGAATAAGTGGGACATTTAATCATATGAAACTTCCCTCTCCAATCCCTACCATAATATTAGATTCTTGTTCTGCTAGAAGTGGTAAGATTTTGTTGGTTGCACCCAAGGTTTTACTTATCGCAGGACCGCAGTTACTGTTGTTTTTAGGGGGGCGAGTGCATCTCCAAAAATAACAAAATCGTTTGTTCCAATGGACAGTTCTTTTTCCCCTTTTATCCTCAAACAATAGTGCCCGTCAATTACTTCTATCTTTCCTATGGTTCTGCTTATCGCAATGATTGTGTTTAAACAATTGCACTATATAAAGCATTTCAAGGTAGTTGCACAGAGAGTGCACAAACAGCCAAGATTGTCTAACGGAAAATGTTTAGTGACTCATCAGCGTAAAAATCTCAGCAAAGTACAACTTCCTAGATCTCTTTTCATTAGTCGATATGTTTGTGAATTAAGGAGATAGAAATTTTAAACAGGGTTGTTTCTAGTTAAAGTTTGAGATAGATAGCTACATATTTCTCTGTGTCACGGCGGATCCAGATACGTAATAGTTCATGGGTCACGGCGGATCCTGTTGTCCCAATGTCTGCTTTCCCCTTCTCGAAACCCTTCCTGACAGGTTTGTTTAACCGCCATTAAAGCAGGGAGTGCCATTAGAAAAAAAAGGTCGATAAGACAAGACTCCATCTTGATCCGTGATTCTATGCTGTATGGCTGTGTATTTGTCAATAGCAAATCACCCAATCAAAGGTTGCGATTTTTACGTAGATTTCCAAGTCTCTTCTTTTCTTGCGTGAAGAGCGTATTAGTTAAGTGCTAAATCTATTTGTTAGCACATTCTTTAAAAGACAAGCAAATATAGTTAAGCGACTCAATGGGTGGGGTCACTTGTCTATGTCTTGCTAATCCATTGCTTTTTCCAACTCTTTTCGAGATAGATGTTTGATGAGAACGGCATTTTGTGGAGTTTATCTTTGGTCTTACAATGGACTACAATCGAGTCACGCCCGAACGCACCGACTTTACATGGTTGAAGGCAAAAATGCCGTAGAAAAGGTGTACCGATTAGGTACGAATGGATTGAGGCAGCGGGACGTTTGTTTTAAGTTAAATTCGTCGGGCTCTTGTGCTCATTTTACCGAAAATGCCTCCAGTTTAAAATTAGGAAATATGCTTTGATCCTCTAAACACAGTTGTGTCCCTGTACAAGACAGAAATGTACTAGTACTAAGGAAAAAAGTTGGCAAAAAAGAAAGTACCTTTCATAGATCGAAGTTTAGCATCATTGGTATTGGGGAGAAGAACATTCGTGGCTCTTATGGGAATAAGCCAGTCTCCAATCACAAGGCGAATACAATTTAGAAAAACCTCTGTATGATGCAACTATGATACAAGATAGATTTGATTAGATACCGTGCAGAGCCATGAAATGTAAATTTCGCCCTTGCCCTAATGCGCGTGACTATATGCAGAGTCCAGAAAGGTTGTTAACCTTCCTCCAGACAAAAACATCCCAGAAGGCAAACCTTCCTCACA